GCTAGTAGCCCACTAGCCAAGAGCCCAAGACCCAATTTTTTTTTTTAAATTAGGACCGGACCTGGGCCCGGACCCGACCCGGCCGGGCCGAGTCACATTAATCCAGCACCGAGCCCGCCCCGCCCATTCCCACCGGTTCGGGTCCATACCCGGTCCCGGACCGCCCGACCGGGCCGGTCCCGGGCCCGCACAGTACCGGGCTGGGCCGGGTCACGGGCCGGGTGGCCCGAACCGAATCCAACCCTAATGCTCACTAACAGTACACTTATGCTCATTTAACGAAAATCACGATTTTTCTCTTAAATTACCAAAATGCCATCGCCTAAAAAATGAACCTTTTGGTAATGGGCTATATTAGCAGATGGGTCAGTTATTTGTTTAATTGATCCGGATGTACGGTTCCCATCTGTACACCCGGATTTACTATATACGAACCGACATGCATATGGGATAATGGGCATACAAGCAGGTAAAGAATTTTGTTAGCTCTTTCCCCTTGGCCCTGCTCGTTTCTATAACAAATTTAGTTCGCAAAAGAAAGAATAATTTAGAAAAAATCTTTAAATTCACACACCAGACACAAAAAATTACTTAGTTAACAACAATTGTTTTTTCTTGTATGTCATAATATTATGACATTTTTCACAGTATTTAGGGTATGCTACACAAAAGATACTCATGTGAGCTTTTAGTTATTATTACAGAGTACAAAGTAGTTTTTAGTGATTAAGATGATCTTAAGAAAATAGTTTGGAGCTCGTATGAGCGGTGATTTGTACATTAATATATTTAGGATTCTTATTTATTTTTTAATTTTGACAGCCATTTTATGGGTGATTCATGCTCAAATTATCCATGTGAGTTGCTCTAGAATGCAATGTTGTTGTTTAATTACTATTGAAGACACTCTTCAAGTTACAAACCTTCTTTTTTAGAGGTTGACTTTTTCTCAAATCATCTATGACACTATCGATGGCTCATCCCCATCTAGAACCACCACTTATTTTTACAATTTCACTTATTTATGCACTTTTTATTATGAGGAAAATAAATAATATACCTCCAACTTTGCCTTGGAGTGAGCTTCCCACCTCGTACTTGTCCTAGTTTAAAAAATACCCCAACTTTTTTTATTTAAATTTTTGGTACCATATTTTAATTAACAAATAATATTTCTCAAACTAAAACCTGTTAAATAGATTTAGTTGGCAAAAAAATGATGTGTGATTCTCAAAAACATGTGTGATGTCTTAGATGGTTTAGTAGGACATGAGGCATAAATATCTCAATTTTACATTCTAGGAGATATTTATACAATGTGAACAAGTTTGAGGTGAGGATATCACACCTATGCACAGTGTTCTAAAAGGCTCCAAAAGGCGGCGCCAAGGCGGACCTAGGCGTGAGGCGTCAACAAAACGCCTCGCCTACCCACTAGGCGTGTCAAAAGGCGGCATTTCAATATGTGCCTCCTTTTTTTGACCCACATGGAGCGATTGTTGCCTATTTAGACAACGAAGGCGTTGCCTTACAAATTTAATGGGAGATGGAGTCAATTTATAGACGTTTGTAAAGATGAATCCTCTACTGCGTCCCGTGTGGGAAATTGAATGAAAAGGCATGCGTCACTAACACAGCTGCAATTCAGTCAACTTTATGTTTTATTATTATATGAAGTATATTTTATACTCCGTACTTTATCATTATACTACATACGTACTCGTACTATTTATGAGTATATAATCTAAAGTTAACATCCACTCCACGGTCTCCACTCCATACTAATTATTATATTATTTTATTGTATTATTATCATTATTATCTTATCATCACTATTTTTTTAATAATATTAATAGTTTATCATTTAACTGCTTTTTCCAATTCTATTCTTTGTGTACTAGGTAAATTTATATTTGTTAGATTTAGGACTAATTATGTTGAAATTTAGGATAGTATAATGTTCTTGAATAAAGCTATGAAATAATTGGGTGTATATACATTTTTAGTATGTACATTTAAGTTATTGTTACATATATTTGTATAAATTAAATATATAACTTTTTATTTTTCTAAAAACTTATCAGCTATGTATACTTACTAATAACATCAAAATTCATAAAATTTAATGTGAAATCAAAACATATTTTATTAAGAACTATGATGGGATTTGTATTTGACTTCATCACATTTTATATACTAATCACTAAAGTGTCATAATCTTTATTAAAATAAATAATAGGGGTTATTAACTTAATCTAGCCTATTTTTTAGGCTATGTAGTCATTTCTCTCTAAAGCTATTTAATATTAATTTTAAATACTTTCAAATATCCTTAGGAAAATCAAAATAATGGATAAAATATCAAAACGCCTTTTCACGTCTTAACCCCGCCTAAACCCGCCTAGGCTTCAAAGGGTTAAGGCTTGAGCGTGCCGCCTTGGCACGCCTTACGCCTTTTAGAACACTGCCTATGCATAGTTTCGGGTATTTTATGGGAAATAAGCCCTCGAACTTTCATAAAAAGTATAAATAAGCCCTTTTATAGGAGGCTCTGTCCGGCCATCGCCATTTGGGGCGGTTTCCGGTGGATTTTTTTTTAGAATCTTCTTCATTAAGTCTAGTTTGTTCATACCATATTTCAGCTAAAATTTCAATTGGGAAGACAATCAAATTAATTTTTGAAGATAACTGCACAGTTAGGTAGCGCAGTCTATTTCAGAAAATCATTTGATTGTCTTCTCAATTGAATTTTTAGCTGAAATTTGGTATGGATAAACTAACCTTAATGAAGAAGATGCTCAAAAAATTTCATCAAAAAAATTCACCGGAAACCGCCACAAATGGCGACAGCCGGACAAAGCCTACTGTAAAAGGGCTAATTTGCACTTTTTATGAAAGTTCGAAGGCTTATTTGATAGTTCTCCAGGTATTTTATTTATTTTCCCCTTTTTTTCATTCTTTTTAAATTTCTTAGAGAAGTTGTAGATTTTTCATATCAAATTAGAAGCACATAAATCGACAATGATCAAATTAAGCTTTCATTTGTATGCTACATGGTTAGCAACTTTTGTGACTTATTTGTTGGTGACAAATTCTAAGTCTAATCGATCATTGGAATTCACATTAGAGATGGTACCATCTTAAATATATTGTAATGATCTTTGATTTATTGATGTCAATATAGGCGATTTATATTAAAAAATGATCTTAAAAGAAAAATGGTGTAACTATTTGATAAAAGCTAATTATTTAATTTAGTTCAGTTTCATATAACAATCTATTGCGACTGATCGATAAAAGCTAATTATTTAATTTAGTTCAATTTCATATAACAATCTATTGCGACTAATTGAGCTAAATATTACAAACTTTCTCTCAAAAGCTACTCACTTTAACTTCTTAAAATATTTTTAATTATTTTAAAAAGTTCTTAAAACTTTTGAGACAAACACAAAACTAAGAACATTAGATACTTTTCAAATATTACAAAATCTAGAAATTAGGAACTTATGTCTACCGAAACATACACTTAGCCATGGTGTCTTTATTAGAGTGAGCTTTTTCCATCTGAATGACTTTTTAATATGAGCTTACATATTTAATATGAGCTTACATAATGTACAGATCATTTATGCTTTTTACCACAAAAGTATGACTGAAATAATTATTGTAGTCATTTTGATTAAGAGATCACATTTTTGTTCATCGTATCATATGTATATATGTGTCATTATTTCATATGACAAATGAAAAATACTCTATTAATTATTCGTAATAGATAAAGTATATAAATGGGAATAATAATGGTCAATCTATGGAAAAAGATTAGGTGGAAATACATAAGATATTCAAGATGAGACTTATTGTTGCACATATTGACATTAGTAATTATATGTACTAAATTGCCAAGTGTGGCTTGAACACTTGTACTAATGTTTCCGCTGTTTTAATGAATATTTTACATTATGTTTATGGATTTGCTACGTGTGAATGATATTCAAGATGCCTATTATAGTATGAGTATTAGCCTGCGGTTGACTGTTCGTACTGTACGACGGGTTGTTGACGTGTCCGGATAGGTACGGGACATGACACATGGTGTCTTTCTTAGGGTGAGCTTTTTTCATCTGGATGACTTTTTAATATGAGCTTACATAATGTACAGATGATTTATGCTTTTTACCCACAAAAGTATGACTGAAATAATATTTGTAGTCATTTTGATTAAGATGTCACACTTTTTGTTTATCGTATCATATGTATATATACGATATTTGTCATTATTTCATATGACAAATAAAAAATACTCTATTAATTATTCGTAATAGATAAAGTACATAAATTGGAATAATAATGGTCAACCTATGGAAAAAGATTAGGTGAAAATACATAAGATATTGATGAGACTTATTGTTGCACATATCCACACTAGAAAAGTTGTTTACTTCACCCAACCAAATAAGAACTCATATTTATAGGTTTCATGCTGAATAGTAGAGTTGAATAACTACTGTAAAAAGAATTACCCCGGATGATAGAATATTTTAAGATCATATAAGATGTAGTATTTGCTTATTTTGAAATGTCAGTAATGATTGTTGAGAAGACATTTATTTATAATTTAAAAAGTATACATTTGTGATTTATTAGTCTTTCATTGACATTCATTATTAATTATAGTAATCAATAATGAGTCTCATCGAAGAAAATGGAAGACTAATAAGTAATAAATATGTAATTTCAATTAAAACTACTTTTTTTAAATGAAATCCACAAACATTTTTTATTAACATGAAATCCACAAACATTTTTTATTTCATTTTGAACTCGTATAGTACTTGATCTGATCATATATTGTTGTGAAGAACGTTAATGACTAGCTTCAACCATTTTCACAATTTTATTATTTGTTGTTATTCTTTCATTTTGAATTTCTTAGAGAAGTTGATAAAAGCATAGAGATCAACCATTAGATAGTACTTCGTATATAAAATTAGAGATTTAATGAGAGTGAAATTGATTGGATGGATAAAGCACGAGAATAAAAAAAATAGAGTCAATGAAAGTCAGGCTCATGTGCTAAGAAATGGAAAACGGATTGACCTGGTGATTTACCAAAACAGATAAGTTTCAAAAACTTATCAACAAAATTCAAAGGTCAACTCCTCAAAATTTCGCATTCTTTTGTTTTATGGCTTTTATCAAATGAAAATCACTACTCCAAGACCTAACATTTCAAAAGCTTAACCTCCATTACTATGACCACAAAACCACCCCATCCGTCATTGTTGGTCACTGTCAACTGCCTCCACCATGGCAATCCGGACCACCTCTGAAATCTGCATAAAAATGAATTCAGAAAGTGAGTTTGAAATATAGGTATTAGTAACATATTTTCACAACTGAAAATATAAAAACCCATGGAAGGAAAACCAAAAAAAATGAAACTAAGTAAATGGGCACTCAATTTACTTTTGCATCATAGTCATCAGATATACTCATTATAAAAAACGAATATTTTGAGATTTTTTATCGAAGGGGCCTAGGGGGTATTACGAAGATGACAAAAATCACCCCTAGCAAGACACGGGAAAACAAATAGACATGTTGAACAAATACAGCACATTGAATGAAACGAAATAACGAATACACCAAAATAACAAAGAGATTAGCTACAGAGCATAAGAAATGTAGCAAGTGAGGATGAAGTACGTGACATGCATCTATGATCTATGCAATCGTCGTTTCCGATGAAACTTTGGCTAAGAAGTCATCAATCTCAAATGTATGCCACCACATCAAACTTTCCATTGTGTGTTTTGCCCTACAAAGAGTATAATATCAGAACATAAGTACTTGACCTTATGAATTAGTAATTCAATTCCTTATTTCTTCTGCTTCTTCTCACCTTTCCATTCGTATCATGTGACTCGATTGTATGTGCTTGAGTCACGAATACTGATGTTCCCAACAATGGCGTTTATAAGGCGCACCAAATCATTCAAGTCACACCTGCTGAAATGCAAAACTCATATACTTTGCAAAAAATACCTGAAGTTCCAGCAAATTAAAATTCAGAAATAAGACTGGAAATATGAATCACAAAATGGTTTTGATGTGTACTTCACAGTCTGATCATCTTTCCTTCTGTGTGACTTATATGACAATGATTCTGAGAATGCCCGGCCCTTCTCGACCATTACGGACCTCCTGATTCAATTGGGCAAAGGGAGAAATACTCCGACATTGATACTGATAATTAGTCATAAAAAAGAATGATAATGATGATAGTAGTAGTTGTAGTAGTAGTAACAGGTGGGGGTTATATGATGCTTATTTGGGAACACTCCGGTTGGTATAGAACTCTTGTAGAATACCAACATTCGGTTACAAAATGTCAACCTGCATATTCTTACTGCTGTTTTATAAAAAGCTATAGTTTCCGTTTGAAACTCAGAAAATGCTAGAGAAAGAAAATAAAGAAGAAAATTAGAAAATATAGGGAAATTTTGGAAGGACAGATCATGTGTGGAACAAGCCATCAGTCCAAACTCATTGCATTTATTGTTTATTTCTATTATATAAAGGCTGAGAAACTCAAAACATTTACAATTTTTAAAGATATTTATGATATTTCATCATTTTAGAATTTTTCCTTGAGCATTTTCCGGGATCCAAACATGACCACAAAAGTGTAAATGCGAATGAAGAATACTAACCACTGATAAATCCGGTGACTGAAGAATATCAGATGAGCGAAAGGACTCCGGCAAACCCAATGAATCTATGGGTACATTTACAGAAATCACCTGTGGCCTTCTTGGATTAGCCTAAGCATGCAATCTTGAACGTTCCTGTTTTTTACTCTTTGGCCATCCACCGTAACTGCTTATCATATGTACAGGGACAGAGTGAATACTATCCCCTTGAGATACCTCTGTTGTCTGTGAAGCTGCCTCAGAAACAGTATCATATGGGGTTTTAAGTGATACCCTGGCCACAGTAGCTCCTTTAGAATAGTAGTTACCGCTTCCATTGCTTCTACTAGAAGAGTGAATGCTCGAGTTGAAAACCTTCATAGACACAACATCATATGAGTGGAAATAACAGCTTATTTAACAATAACACTGGAGGGAGAGGGAGAGGGAGAGGAAGTGGGAGAGGGAGAGAGAGAGACCTCGATAGGAGCCACTCCTTTTCGACGTGTTCTTATATTTCTAGAATATGCAGACCCCCTTCCTGTGGAACCTGCCCTCCTCCTGAAAATTAAGGGATTATCCAAATTAAGACTTCAAATGAAAGCACCATGTTATTAAAAAAATCTTACATTGCAGAGATTTAGAGCCTGTTTGGGGTAACTTATGGTATAACCGTGACGGTATACTTAACGACTATCAACAATGTAAGTGCTTTTTCGTAAGTGTTTCCTCTTGCAAGCATGTGAAATGGTTTCTGAAAAGCACCAATCTGCTACTTTCTTAAATAACCAAAAAAAATCGTTTTTTACTCTCAAAAGCACATTTATCCCATTTCTGCCCCAATGCTTCCTTTATAAATAAACAAATTTTCCATCTAAAAAAGCTTACTTGTTTGAATGGGATGAAGCTGAATAAAATGTGAGGCATCAATCTAAAGCTAATGCTATCAAATTTACGAAACATCAGTGGAACTACATCACCTCCTTGTTTCTTCACGGATTTTTGCATCAATCTCTTTGTTTGGTGGGAACTTTGGCAGGCTTGATGGGTTACAAGCATATGGCCTTGAATGGAAATACTAAACCCAGAAACACAATATAAAGAGATCACTTTTAATAATTATATTTGATGAGTGAAATCACACTGTTATGCCAGAAACACAACATATTGACATTACTAATTATATGTACTAAATTGGTAATAAGGAGTGAGATCATACTACTATGCCCCGTGGTTGCATGAAACTTGAAGCACAAATGAGATTGTGAAATCTCTTGCGAGAATTACCTCAGAATTAAGAGAGGATGAAGCAGTTCCACGCTCGTAAGGTTCTATTGAGAGAAGGGTTTGTATAAGGTTTACAGCAGATTTTGGTAATTCTTTACATCTTTCGCGTAGTGTACTCTCATAAGCAGATTGGGGTTTAAACATAGCTGCGAGCGAAAGGTTTGAATTTTCCCAATAATGATCTGGCGGTGAACCGCAGAGTTTAAAAATCTTGTGCAATTGTTCCACCTTCCACACAAGTAAGACAATAATGTTTAGAGAACAACTACTACAAGATGTTCATCATAAGTAACACAAGATATAATTAAAACAAACATAGATCGATTTGGGAATTCACACTAACCTCGGTTCTACCTTTTAGTAGAGGCCTCCCAAAGAAAAGCTCTGCAAATACGCAACCAGCACTCCACAAATCAACTGTCAAACCATACTTTGTGGACCCTAACAGAAGTTCGGGGGGTCGATACCAAAGGGTCACCACTCGACTGGTCAGTGGTTGCTGGTCGTTCCATGCACTCACAAAATTTGCAAGACCAAAGTCTCCTATCTTCAAAATGCCTTCATTATTTACCAAAATGTTTGATACTTTGATGTCTCGATGCATAACCCCTCTGGAATGGCAGTGCTCCAGTCCAGACAATAGTTGCTTCATAAAGCATTTAATCTATATTCCAAATACGGAAAGGACGAAAGAAATAGGAAAGTTTGAGAGCAATAACACAAAAACAATTTGCATCAACAAATCAGAGAACAATGTTATAAATAAACCTGTGAATCACTGAACTTGATGTCGGGACAAGACAGCAGTCCTGATAGATCATGTTCCATGTACTCAAATACAAGGCATATGCTACATGATGATCGGGATGTGATTACACCCTCCAGTTTCATGATGTTCGGATGATCAAGTCTGCGAAGGATAGTTATTTCTCGTGCCATGAATCTAACACTCTCAGGTTGGAAGTTGTCAAATCGCACCTTCTTCAGGGCAACCATCTTACCATTTTCAAGATCGCGTGCCCTGTACACGCTGCTGTATGTTCCCTGTCCAATCTAGGATGAGACAGAAAATGAATATTTATCACGGTCCCATATTTTATTGCTTTAATTAACCCATCGTAAATCATTACAGCGTTCTCGTTCTATCATTGTCTATAGAAAACCATACAATGCTTATAAATCTCATTCTGTTTTTAGCGTGGCTAAAGAGCAAGCGCCTGGTGTACCTTTTCTAATCTCTGAAACTTGTCTGCTCTGAGGGGAAGCCATCCCTCAACTGCCTCTCCAGCAACCGCAGAGAGCCAGGAAGGCCACCCAGCAGCTACGTGTTCACCTTTCGGTAGCCTCCCAAATTTGATACTAAAAGTAGCTTTCTTTACCGAATGCACCTTTGACAGGGCCTTCGGATTACCAGAATATTTCTTGGCGGGAGAACAACATTCCTCTTCCCCCTCCTCGGACTCCTCTTGGATCTTTTCCAACGCTCCAAACCCAACATTGTAGTGTCCCAAACTCGACCGGGTACGACGTCGCTTCACGCCTTCCCGGGTGGTGGCAAGGGTGGAGGAAGCCGTGGAAGAAACGGCGTCGCGGCGCGCCTGTCTGGATGTGACGCAACCCATGAGCCCGACCTCCGAAAAGCCGTTGAATGATAATAAGATTTCGGGAAGCCCGGCCGAAGACACTTATCATTGGATTTGGGTCAGTGACGCTGCCAGAAGAGACCGAGAGGCGAGAGGAGAGGGGTGGTGGCCGAACCACCGAAGAGAGATTAAAAGCAGAAAATGGCTAATGCGATTCGGGGAGTTGCAGTTTCACGCTTTCATCCAACATAATCAAGCAAGAGACATGCGCGGGGAACAGAGGACGAGATCACACATTTCCAACGACCTCTCCAATAAGTCGAGGAACTCGAAATTCACAAGTGTTCGGTTCAACGTTGCAATTCAGGAAGGATTTTGAAACGAACTAAAATTAGCTGAATTTCACTCTATCTCATGAACACAAAAATGAAGGGAACTAAAAGGTAATAATGACACAAATAAATAATACCCCATCCATTTTACCGAATACTGTATAAAAAGTTGTCAAAAAAATAAAGGGAGATTTGTACCTCGAAATTACATAAAAAGTGCAAATAAGCCCTTTTTATTGGAGGCTTTGTCCGGCCATCGTCATTTGTGGCGGTTCTCAGTGGAATTTTTTGATGATTTTTTGTCGAGAATCTTATTCATTAAGTCTAGTTTACTCATATCAAATTTGGTAAACAAAACAACCCACTTACTAGTCACTATAGACATTTAGACTTTCTTCCTTGGAAAAGAATAATTCTATGTTCAATCCCCAAATTGCTATTCACCGCCATTTAATTAAATAAAAACAAATACTACCTTCGTCCCATAAAATTATTCTCACTTTGACTTGGCACGGAGATTAAGAAAAAATGGAATAAAGTGGAAATGTGTGGTTGAAATTGTGTAAGAAAAAGGTGAAATGAATGTGAACCACACAAATTGTCCATTCATTTTTTTCTTTTTTTCATCAAGTGACTGTGAATAGCAATTTGAGGACTGTAAATAGAATTACCCCTTAGAAAAGGCTTCACTATCGATCTCGATGAACCGTTGATTGGATCATTAATGACATGACCAATTCGCGGTCTCCAATTAACTCTAGTTCATTTTTGTTATTGATACATGTTGATCCAAAACAAGAGAGAAATGACAAGTATGTTTTTAGTTTTTTTGATGCCAATACCGCTGCCAACAAGAAATACCTCAAAGAAATGGAAAGGAGAAAGAGAAAGGCAGCACGGGGTAAGGAAAAAGAGGAAGTTCAACCGGGGAATGACGACTACACCTCGGATTTCTATCTCTCTTGATGATTAAGATCCTTGTTTGGAATGTTAGAGGTTTGAATAAAACCTCAAAGCATAATTTAATTTCTAGTCTTATTAACTCTAATAATGTGAACTTGTGTTGTTTTTTGGAAACTAAAATGACTGCGGCCAATTTTAATAACTATCTTTTAAATAAATGGTCGGGGTGGCATGGTGAAAAGAATTTTAATAAAATACATGGTGGCCGAATGACCATCATGTGGAATCCGAATTTTTTGCATTGTGTTATCAACGAGATTGAGGGGCAATTTATACATGTAAAATGTGTTTGCCGCATCACTCAACTGTCTTTTGTTGCTACATTTGTATATCCGCTATATACTGTATTGGAGCGCAAGGCACTTTGGGAATATCTTGCTTTGCTTGGGGATGGTATTACCGAATCTTGGCTAATTGCGGGTGACTTTAATTGCATTTGTGTTCCAAATGAGAGGGTTGGACCAAGCCCACCCACGGCCTATATAATGAAACATTTATTTGATTTTAAAGTTCGAGCTAGCCTAGAAGATGCCCCATCTACCGGGGATTTTTTCACATGGAACAAAGGAAATCTTTGGGCTAAGCTTGACCGTGTGCTTCTTAATGATGTGTGGGGCAACTTGGAATTAGTTGTAAGGCCCATTTCCATGAAATGGAGGTTGAGTTTGATCATACGGCTTCCATAATATGAGTACTCAATAATTCCTCTCTAAGGCCGAAACCCTTCAAATTTTTTAATATGTAGATCAAGCACTGTGATTTTTCTAACATAGTTGCACAGAGTTGGAGCCAATTCATTGATGGTACAGCCCAGTTCTCAATTGTGAGGAAGATAAAGTTGCTCAAAAGGCCGCTAAAGAACCTCAATTCATTGATGGAATAGTAATTTGAGGACTGTAAATAGAATTACCCCTTAGAAAAGGCTTCACTATCGATCTCGATGAACCGTTGATTGGATCATTAATGACATGACCAATTCGCAGTCTCCAGTTAACTCTAGTTCATTTTTGTTATTGATACATGTTGATCCAAAACAAGAGAGAAATGACAACAAGTATGTTTTTAATTTTTTTGATGCCAATACCGCTGCCAACAAGAAATACCTCAAAGAAATGGAAAGGAGAAAGAGAAAGGCAGCACGAGGTAAGGAAAAAGAGGAAGTTCAACCGGGGAATGACGACTACACCTCGGATTTCTATCTCTCTTGATGATTACGATCCTTGTTTGGAATGTTAGAGGTTTGAATAAAACCTCAAAGCATAATTTAATTTCTAGTCTTATTAACTCTAATAATGTGAACTTGTGTTGTTTTTTGGAAACTAAAATGACTGCGACCAATTTTAATAACTATCTTTTAAATAAATGGTCGGGGTGGCATGGTGAAAATAATTTTAATAAAATACATGGTGGCCGAATGGCCATCATGTGGAATCCGAATTTTTTGCATTGTGTTATCAACGAGATTGAGGGGCAATTTATACATGTAAAATGTGTTTGCCGCATCACTCAACTGTCTTTTGTTGCTACATTTGTATATCCGATATACACTGTATTGGAGCGCAAGGCACTTTGGGAATATCCTGCTTTGCTTGGGGATGGTATTACTGAACCTTGGCTAATTGCGGGTGACTTTAATTGTATTTGTGCTCCAAATGAGAGGGTTGGACCAAGCCCATCCACGGCCTATATAATGAAACATTTATTTGATTTTAAAGTTCGAGCTAGCCTAGAAGATGCCCCATCTACCGGAGAATTTTTCACATGGAACAAAGGAAATCTTTGGGCTAAGCTTGACCGTGTGCTTCTTAATGATGTGTGGGGCAACTTGGAATTAGTTGTAAGGCCCATTTCCATGAAATGGAGGTTGAGTTTGATCATACGGCTTCCATAATATGAGTACTCAATAATTCCTCTCTAAGGCTGAAACCCTTCAAATTTTTTAATATGTAGATCAAGCACTGTGATTTTTCTAACATAGTTGCACAGAGTTGGAGCCAATTCATTGATGGTACAACCCAGTTCTCAATTGTGAGGAAGATAGAGTTGCTCAAAAGGCCGCTAAAGAACCTCAATGCAATGGAATATGGGCATATATCGATGAAAGCTAAGAGAGCAAAGGAGGAATTCAAAAGATTAAATAAATTGTGGCTGGTTTCGCCCCTGGATGATGACTTAAAAGTGCAAGTGGAGGCTGCTAGGAAAAAGGCTACTTTTTTTGCATAAGCCGAAACAAGCTTCTACCAACAAAAAGCAAAGGTCACTCACATTCTCGAGGCGGACAAAGGGACAAGATATTTCCACGCTATTGTGAAGAGGAACGTCACGCTGAATGCCATATCTTCCATAGATTTGGAGGACGGTAGTCTTACTACTTCCTTAGATCAAGTTGGAGATGAATTTGTAAAATTTTTTGTGGATTTATTTGGTACTGCCGAGGTAAACCTACCCCTTGACCCGTTGGTTTTAGGAACCGGTCCTTTGATTGAACCAAGTGTTCATGATAGCCTACTTGCTCCGGTTACAAACAAGGAAATTAAAGATGCCTTATTTGATATTGGGGATGACAAGGCACCGGGGCCGGACGGGTTTACCTCGGCCTTCTTTAAGGCCAATTGGAGTTTTATTGGGGATGACATAGTCCAAGCGATTAAGGAGTTTTTTCTAACGGGTAAGTTGCTTAAACAGATCAATCATATTGTTATAGCACTTATCCCTAAGACTAATCACTCCCCAAAAGTGTCGGACTATAGACCTATTTCATGCACGAATGTATTGTATAAAATTATCACAAAAATAATTGCGGCTCGATTAACCCCGTGTCTTTCGGGACTGGTTGATCAAGCCCAAGGAGCTTTCGTAGATGGCCGCCTAATGTTTGATAACATGTTCTTAGCCCATGAACTTGTTAGAGGATACAATAGGAAGCGAATCTCACCGAGATGTATGATTAAGGTAGATTTGTGAAAGGCCTACGACACGATTTCATGGGATTTCTTGGACAAAGTCTTGATGGGTTTGGGCTTCCCCGATAGATTTATTGCATGGATTATGGAGTGTGTGTCCACTGCCTCCTTCTCGGTTTCTTTAAACGGATCGCTTTACGAATTTTTCAAAGGCAAACGTGGAGTTAGGCAAGGGGATCCAATGTCCCCTTTGCTTTTTGTTTTGTGCCTTGAATATTTCTCCCGGTTACTCACCGTGAGAACCAAAGGGGGGAATTTTAATTACCAACTGCAATGCTCCACATTGGGCATCACCCATTTGGTATATGTCGATGACCTTATGCTATTCTCGAGAGGCGACACGTATTCCATAGAAATATTGGTCAACGCTCTCAAAGAGTTTGGAGAGGCATCCGGCCTAAGGGTTAACCATGAAAAATCGAATATTTTTGTAGGAGGGGTGAAGGACCTAGAGCTACAAAAAATTTTAAACATTGTCGACTATGGGCAAGGAATATTCCCGGTAAGATACCTTGGAATACCACTTGCCCCGCTAAAGGTATCGGTTGCACAATATGCACCCCTACTCAACATGGTCAAGGATTTTCTAAATGCGTGGAATACGAAAACACTATCCTATGCCGGTAAAATTGAGCTAATTCAATCGGTGATCCAAGGGGTCCAATCGTTTTGGCTCCAAATCTTCCCGGTTCCGCAAACCATATCGGATAGGATAGTGTCCATATGTAGACTGTTTTTGTGGGGTGGAAAGTTTGCGAAGGTGGCTTGGGATGACATATGACTTCCAAAAGAGGAAGGGGGTTTAGGTATTCATAGTGCCCGAACTTGGAACGATAGCCTCCTTTCACACACTCTCTGGGACGTACACAAGAAGAAAGATACCCTTTGGGTTCGTTGGGTTAATGGTGTATACCTTAAGAGTAGAAGTGTGTGGGATTTTGTCCCACACGGTCGTGACACACAACTCATGAAGAGGTTGAGTCAAATACGGGACAAAATACGAGGGTGCTTTAATAATTTAAATGAAACCATTATGGGCCTTAATGCTAGGAGTATCAATGGGAAACTAGTATCGGCCAAGATTTATGAGCTTCTATGAGTAAAGGGGGCCACTAGGACTCCAATGAGCTTCATTTGGAAGTCCTACATCCCCCCAAAATTTTCGTTTAATGTTTGGTTGGGCTTGAGGAACCGGCTGCCCACTAAGGATAGCCTCGGTTACCTACATATGGTTAATAGGTGTGACTTGTGCAAGGGTGGATTGGAAACAATTCCACACCTATTTTTTCTTTGCCCTTTTTCTTGTAGGGTATGGGATGGAATCCAAGACTGGATTGGAATGGGACGTCAAATGACAACATTACTAAGCTCAATTAAGTGGATCATGAAGACGCACAAGGGATCAACGATGAAGGCCAAGGCTGCCCGTCCAGCATTCTGTGTTGCGGTCTACCACATTTGGCATGCGAGGAATGAGATACGATTTGATGGAGGTTCGAAGACGGAAGAAGATGTGATTTCTAAGATCAATCACGTGGTGTATAAGATCCTATATAGCTTATACCCGCACGACATGGTCAACTTTTAATTGGTGGATGTTGTCTCCTCTTCGAAGCCGCGGCATCATCTCTTTGGGACGAGTATGTGTGCACCTTGCAACACCATGATTTTCTTTTTTGACTAAGGGGAGTGTGCATTATAACCTCCTCTTGGCCATGCATTTTCTTCGGATAAATGTATTTTGATGTTCTGTGTGCGTGCACCTTGCAGCACCGATTGATTTTTGAGGTTTAGGGGCATTTAGTATTGTATACTTAGGCCCCTTTTGATTTTGATTAGATCGAATAAAAACCTCTCATAACCCCTACACTATGTAAGGGTGGGAGAGGTTTTAGAAGATCTAGAACTTTTTGATGTATATTTTTCTGGGTGTTAATATATATTTACATTTCATCCAAAAAAAGTAGGGGAGCATAGGTAGGAGTGGACTCGGGCCGGGCCAACCAGTCCGGAACCGGACCGGCCCGCTACTGTGCGGGCCCGGCCCGGCCCGGTGAACCGGTTGGTTGACCGGTTCGGGCCACCCGGCCCGGTGGGATGGCGGTTCAGGCTCGAACCCTTCAAAAGGTGAACCGGCCCGGCCGATTCGGACCCGGGCCGAGCCAATTTATTATTTTTTTTTTGAATTTTTTTTAAGTTTTTGGGTTGGGCTGGGTATTTTGGGCCATTTGAGGTGGTTAGGGTTGGTTTGGGGTGAGGGGGAGGGTTGGGGGTTAACTAGGAAAAGCCAAAAAAATAAAAATAAAACCGAGGCCTGGCCCGGACCCGGGGGTTACCCGGGCCGGTTCCGGGTCTCCCCCTTCATGAATCGAGGCCTGGCCGGGCCCAGGCTCAAACCGGGCCCGAACCGGAACTGGTCCACCCCTGAGCATAGGAGTTGTGACTTGCGAATGAGGGTTAGATTGTAGGAATGACGAGGAGTTCATGCAATGTATCTGCGTTATGGTTGGACTCGGGTCGGGCCACCCGGCCCGTGGACCGGCCCAGCCCGCTACTGTGCGGGACCGAGACCGGCCCGCTACTGTGCGGGACCGGGACCGGCCCGCTACTGTGCGGGACCGGGACCGGCCCGCTACTGTGCGGGACCGGGACCGGCCCGCTACTGTGCAGGACCGGGACCAACCCGGTTCTCGGGTCTGGGTCCGGGTCGGGCCTAAGCCCGAGGGGTAGGGCGGGTCCGGGCTCGGGTCTCAGTTTTGGTGAACCAGCCAAGCCGGGTCGGGCCCGGGCCAAATTGATTTTTTTTTATTTTTTTCATTTTTGGGGTTCCACCCGGGTTGGGCTTGATGGGTAGGATGGGTTTGGGGGGGTTTGGGAGGGTAGGGGTGAGGGGGGGGGGGGGGGGTAGGAAAGCAAAAATAAATAAATAAATAAATAAATAAATTCCAAACCGGAGGCCCGGCCCGGCCCGGCCCGACCCGTACCGGATCCGGTGGCTACCCGGGCCAGTCCCGGGTCCACTATTCTTGAACCGCCGGCCCGCCCGGGCCTAGGCCCGACCCGGACCCGAGTCCATCCCTAATCTGCGTCTAGGTTGTGGACCACATGGAGTTTGATCAAATATTTCCAAGCCATCAACCTTTAAATTAATGCTTTTTAGTTATTTGTTTGTTGCTTTTAATATTTAGATGGCTTAGTGTTTAAATAATAGTACTGTAATAAGTAAATAAAACGAACCCAGACAAACATTAAAAATGAATTAGAATTTGCCTTTTATTTTTCCCAATATTTCCGTTCGTTCCAAATTACTCCTACATTTTCATGCATGTTTTCTCCAACATCATTTCACCATTCCAATAGGCCTGACCCTAAACTAGGGTGGAGCCAAGCCGGACCTGGTGTAGTTCTGGTTCATGACCGGACAGTTTCAGTAAGATAGAAGGGTGGAGCTGGACCTTTAGCCGGGTAAACCTGCTCCTGTTGTGGAACCTTGACATGGATAATAGAGAAGGCGAGTAGAGTTTTCTCCAAATGAAGGGGAACCAGTGAAGGAAACTCAAGTCTATAGTTCTTACGGATGACGACCCCAACAAATGCTCTCTGTCTCTCTCTCTCGATTTTGGGTCAACTGTTCTGCTGTAAACCTGATCTAAGCGTCTCCAAACAGATCTAAAGACTCATCTGCCCAAATATCTGCTCTTTCAAGAAAAACAAGCATGACCAAACCAAATACCTACCTACAAGCGAAAAAAGAAGTGAATGAAAATCAGAGTATTACAAAAAAATTCATAATAATCAAAGCTATAAAACGAACAATTGTTTGCCATTTAACTATTCATATGCTCTAGGTAAGACTTTCCTAAAATTCGTAGACAATAGCTCTAATAGTTTCAAATTTAAAAAATGTGTTTAATTGTTTCAAAATGAAGTTGACGGGTATATATGCTCTCATGTATAAATTCAAGGGTATATTTGTTTCTTCTCCCTATATTATTAAGAAATTTTTACGGTGCCTTGTTAAATTAACAAGGTACCGGTACCTTAAACAGTTATTCAAATAATGACACGACACTAAATCTAATTTCGATATTAATATATTTGCATTGCAGTCCCTTCCATTACCATCTACATTCTTGTAAAGGTTTTCCTCTGAATCTCTGATTACCGTCTATCCACAGATTGCATCTCAACAAGTCATTGCAATTAAAAGATACAATCAAATTCAGCCCACCAATTAGGATCATATTTCCTTATTTGGATAGAGCATATCAATAACCAAGAATTGCAGATTTTGTTGAAAAGAACCAGAAAGCCTTGTGCTATGTTGAGTCTGTTAAAAAACACTCTCAGAATATTAATGAATTGGAAAAATAAACATATATGCTTGAATAGTAACAAATTCATGACTAAATCTTGAAGGAATAAAGGATCAGCAGACCTGCGGAAGTAATGCTGGTTGAAGAAAGAAAAATATCAAAAGACGGAGATGTTTTTTTACTAAATCAGATTTTAAACCCGATGTAATGATTAAACGATTAACATATTAATTTGATTTGAGAATCCTATGTTCTTATGTGAAAAATCCATTGCCTAAAGCTAAATCGAGCACTGATGGGCAATCTTCTACAAAGCGCCGATGCGCCGCTGGGGTACTGTAAAATCCAGAGACGTTTGCAGGACTCAAATGCAAATAGATCAATCATCATTTTAGAATTAAATCAGATGCTTGGTCATTATTATTTTATTTATTATACGGAGTAGGTTTTACCTATCCACGTGTAGTATTTTTAGTGGCTATCTAGGCAAAGGTACGGTACACTCTTAAACAATAGAGGTACCGTAGAAACACCCATATTATTACTCCAAAGTTCGCTCTATGTTCTGCAATTGTCAGTAGGGCCAAGATAGTACAACAATTGTTCTTCTGAAGATGATCTGCTCGCATAGCCTCTTTTCTTCCTTCCAAATTTATTCATTTTGAAACCCAGGCCATCCCACATTCCCATTTTGTCTACAAAAGTGATACATTTTGAACTATATGTCATAGAAAATATATACCCTCAAATTTTTTGGAACACTTGACACAAAGGTTGTATAGGTAAAACAAATATGCCGCCAAAATATAAATCAGTGAACATATATACTCCTCGACTATTTGAAAATAAAGGCATATTTGTCTCAATTTTACAATATTTTTGTTTAATCGTTACAGAAATGGAGGGGTATATTTGTTCTCGAACATAGAGCTTAGGGGCATACATGTTCCTTCTTCCACTCCATTAATAATAGGTATTCTTTTAATTATCAAGTTTTAAAAGTTGTAAATAGACTCAAACCATAAGCTAAGGGAAAATGAAGCATACATGCGAAGAAATTTTAATTTAAATGAGCAATTACTATATATTAAGCTTAGGAAAAAGGAGGCATTCATGTGATGTGAATAAATAGGAGTGACATACAAAGAAAAACAGTTGTGAGATGATGACAAATGTAGATTTATTTACCTTCTGAGACTAATATGATGTGCTACAGGAAATGACTGGCTAGAAGAACTTGTGGCTTCTCCTCGTCTTCTTTAACTTCCAAAGATGCCTCAGCTTTGATTTCCTCAACCCTTTTATCCCATATTCCATCTACTAGCTTCCATGTTTCATCACTAATGACCTGTGTCTGTTCAGTTCATAAATCACACACACACACAAATCAGTCGACAGGAACTTCACCATGCAATGAAAAGTTAATGCTCTAGTTCTCACCTGTATAGGACGTGATGCACCAAAGGTTGAAAAGCCAACATTTCCAGGGGCAAAAGTCACCCTCCCTGGAAGTGAAGCACCATGAATTCCCCATCTTCCAGCATAAACAAGGGCTCCATATTCATCAATTGGCCTAACAGCCGGCTGAAGAGAGTAAATTATAATCTACAAATCTGATACAATCATTCATACTTCGTTTTCAAAAAAATCAGAAAAGGTACAGCATAACATTCATATTTTTTCATCGCGTGCCTGCTGTCTTAAAAAATAAAATAGTCTCCCCCCTAGTAGCACTATATTTACAAGTTCTGCAAGCAGCTAACTGTTCTTACTTCTTAAGCTTGTTAAGCGGTGAAACACAAATTCATGTGCACTTACACCGTGGCGTCGTGTCATAATAGAAATTATTGATTACAAGTTCATACTAAACATGATAGTTGGTACTTCATAGAGTATGTGACTTTTAAGGCACTCCCACCAACCCATATTGTGTGTGGATCATGTAACATGCATGGCTGAAGGTAAGGTATTTACAGATACTTTTTCTAATTAGAAAATCATAAATATTTAAAAACTAAAAAATTAGTAGAGTTTTAGGCAATCATATCACAAGTTCAATCATTTCAAATAGAAAGTATCGATTATGTTATGCACATCAACAACACTAGAAAGCCTGTCATGAATCATGATAGGAATTATAAACAAAAGATAAAAACATAAATTTTCATGATTCGTAGATCACTATATTAACACAACAAATCAAAGTGTAGTGCAGGATAAACCTGAGGTACTCGAGGGCAACTTTCGTATGTGCTCCAAATTTCATCAGCTTTGATCTCTCCTTTCTCAAGTAAAATATCTGATCCACAAAGAAGGGCATAACACCAGTCACAGTAAGTGAATGCATTGAGAGTTGAAGATATTTAGACTGACGGCATCAGGGTAAACTAATCATTTGAAAACTAGATTACACCTGTAATGGTCTCTACAGCAACATGGTTCTCTTTCAGTATAGATCCACATTTCTCCACAGCAAAACGAATATATTCATCTCGAAGAGCTTCAATTTTAGCAGCTAACTGGAAATCAAAAGCATAAACAATTTACATTAGCACACTATCCAAGCAAAACTAATATGCCCCATAACCAATATAATCTAACATGTAAATAAGAAAAAAATCCATGGATGTACCCACATTTGGCACAAGATCTCTCTGGTATCTGTAGTAAGCTTTCCCGAGTGCAGTCATTCCTGTCTGTAGAATCAAACGCTCTGCAAGCGTAGAAGCTTCTAAAGTGGCATTTGCAGAGATCCAGCACAAATTGTCAACTCCAAACATCTCGACCTCAATGACTCTGGCTGCATGTGCAAGACAATTGTTACCCAGGAAAAAGAATAACCAAATAGCAAAACAGAACACAATAAATACAGAATCGGATGAGCAGAAATTTCATTTTGACATTTACTAATGCATTATAATGATCACCAATTGATATAAACGTTGAAGCATGAACTTTAGGGTCTTACTATAAAAATTAAAATCAAGGAAATAAAGTGAGGGGGATTTCTCCATGACTCCATCCCAGAATTAATTGTGGAAAATCAAATTTTCAGTTCCATACAAATATACAATGTAATAATGTACAATGTATCTATCGCATGCCTTTTTTAGTCAAGACATGTAAGTGTGCATATATTACCATATAAGTTGCAGAACGGAGACCCTTCAACTCTCCTATCATCTTTCTCTCAAATATAGAATTTTATAAAGCATTCTTTCTCTACAATTTACTTCTTCTACACATGTACTTCAGCATCAATGAATGATTATGGGTATTCACACACAGACACTGAAACTGTGATACAACTTCACTCCAAAGGAAATTCAAGAAAGCATTTACAGAATTCTGTCAAAAAAAAACATTTATAAAATGAAACAAATACACTAAATATAATGGCATTCTACTCACGAGCACAAGAACGCACTACTGCATTCACATAATCAGATTTCTTTTTAAATACTCTGCCTGCCACTGCTGTATACTGCATATTTGGTTTACTACTAATGGAGTTCACATGAGTCTGTAAAGACAATAAACCAGAGAAATGAACGTAAATTAATTAATGTAAAAGTGAATTGCAAGATGCTCCCTCCGTCCCGTAAAGAAGTTCTCATTCGGTTTACGATGCTTGACTGACGATAAAACAACTTGATCCCTGTTCACACTCGGATTATTTTTAGAAAATAAAATTTACATTTTCAGAAACTACATTAAAATTGCTACAGCCTAATCAAGAGAATTTAAGTTTGACAAAAAATTGATATATAAAGTAAAAGATTGAGAGTGATTTAAGTTGACCAATGAATAGTGAACAGGAACTTCATTTCGGGACAGAGGTAGTATATTAGAATGAAAAATGTGACTTTATAATAACCTCAGTGAAGGGGCAGTGTGGATCGGGAATGGAACATGCAACAACTGCAACAGCAGCTTCTCGATATGCAAGTCTCACTTTTAGTTCCTCAGGGACCTCTGGGCGATCCTCTTGACCAGTTTCAAATGTGCCCATTTGCTGCAATATTGGGCAGGAAAATAATTGAATTACGCGAAGAAAATTTAGGAAATCTTATTAGTGTTTCAGATCATATCACCCACCCTCTTCAGAGCCTCGAGAAGCTCTTCTCTTCCTATGTAGTCTGCGTCTGTCCTGGTAGTCAATATTCCAGCTTCATTCCTGTTCATAAGATCATGTGTCATTATTGTTTATCTAAATGTCATAATCTGCAGTCACCACAGTTTTAGGGAGTGTACAAAATATTTTGAAGTTCTGCCCCAGTAAAATCTTCTGTCTGTTCAGCAATTTCCTGCAGTAAAGTCTCCTTCTCTTCTTCAGAGCGGAAAAATTTGTTTCGAGCATGTACCTGAAATGTTTGCTTCAATGATAAGAATTCAAAAAATGTATACTTTATTTATATCTTAGTTTTACCCTTCTTCTGTACTGGGGTGGGGTTGAGAGATGGTAAGCTGGCAATGTGAGTAGGTATTAGAAAACCACACCTTCAATATGGCCAATCTACCATCCTTTGATGGCAAACCAACCCTTATAATCTTGTCAAAACGGCCCTTCCGCAATAGAGCAGGATCGAGGATATCCAACCGATTTGTTGCGCCAATGACTAAAACCTAAGTAAACAAAAATAACAAAGGAAAGTCTTGATCCCCCAAGTGCTTTGACAATAAATAACACCATTTATTTATTTACGTAGTATTTATTAAAACATAAATGCGTGCCTGTGATGTGGAAACCTTGAACCCATCCATTTCTGTTAGTATTTGAAGGAGGCCTTGCTCCCTTTCAGCACCACCCTAAGATAGAAAAATTACAGTGGAAAAAATGACCAGTCGGGTAAATGTCATTGCCTTACCTGAAGAAAATAGTTGTGCAACTCTGTACCAATAAGATGATCCCAAATTCTAGCTAACATCTAATGCAAATGAAATGAACAGATTTGAAAAACTAAGATAAGTACTGAAGTGTCCCACCGCACCACGGGAACACAAAAAAAAAGATTAAAGATAAATGAGTAAACACAGTTTCCCTTCATCCAATTCTTTGTAAAGTCGGATATATAAAGTTCCTACTTTACAATGAAAAGACTTTCAAAGTTACATCTACCATGTTTGAATTATAAAAAAACAGCTTCCTCAATATCTAATCCAATATTCATGTGGTGAAGCTTGGAAGATACAATTAAGGTACAGAATATGTGGTTTAGTCTATAATATGCAGGACTATTAAGAGACTTAGGTGTGTCATACTCCGCCAATATCTGGTCCACCCCGTTTGCTGCCAATTGCATCTATCTCATCAATGAAAATAATGGAAGGGGCATAGGATCTGGCACTGGAAAAAAGGTCTTTTACTCGTGAAGCGGCCACACCAACAAACATCTGGAGAAATAATTCGAATTAGATGATGTGCAGAATGGCAGGCATTAAGATATCAAAGTAGATACAAGAAAGGAAATAAGCTAGTGTGATAGTGTTGTAATTATTTTTAAATTATCATTTTTCAGTCCTTTGACAGTGTCGTGATTTTTGTGATAACAATAAATCCATGAAATAACTCGAAGCACTAATACCCAACACTAATTGCGTAATACGAGTTCATAATTGTGAATTTGGTTTTCTAATTATGAAATCTCTTAAAACTGTTAACAGTCATCCCATAGTAGTTACTCTATTACAAAACTTATTCACAATACTCAAGTTCAAGTAAGACCCATCCCCGCCTGCTCTCTCCCCCCCACCCCCCACTAGTTCAAGAAATTATCAAATCTCCAACTTCCACTAATATATGCTAAAATGATCATAAGACTCTTGGTTCAATTGTTAAGTTAGTGAAAATAAGCCCTCAAGAGCTACAACACAGGTGGTCAACATAATAGCAGGGATCACAAAATAACACGGCTCTGTTCTTAAATTTGGTCATCAAAATACAAGATTTTGAAGACCCGAGATAATTCCCTCACCTCAACAAAATCAGTGCCATTAGCAGCAAAAAAAGGAAGTCCTGCTTCACCAGCTATCGCTTTTGCTAGAAGAGTTTTGCCAGTTCCAGGAGGACCATAGAAAAGCACTCCTTTTGGGCAATAAATGCCCTTGCCTCGAAATTCTTCCTCACTTTTCAGTATCCGAACAATCTCTTGCAGTTCCCTCTTAATATATTCTTGGCCAGCAAAATCATCAAAAGTGACACCAGTCTTTTCTTCTGCTGATATGAATTTTGCCCTGATATCGAGCAAAAGCTTAAGACCTAGCACCACATTGGTTGAGAAATCCCCTCAAGTTTGAATGTAAATTGCATGTGAACAGGCCAGTGATTTGATAAGAAAATAAATACAGCAATTCTAAGTATCATACCTACTGAAAAGCATTGCCTAAAGGGAGTTTTAGAGAGTACACATCAACAATGCCAACATCCAAGCCTTAGACCCAAAAGAGTTGGGGTCAGCTAACATAAATCCAAGTTTTAGAGAGTACACACATAACATGGAAATATCAACTGGGCACTCCAACATTGGAATCGGAACTTTTATTTCATGTCAAGTATATGATGTACAGTGAAATAACCAAAAAAAAACTCTTCCTCTTTTCTCTCTTCCGTTTCCTCAAAAAAATCCTAGGTCTAGCTAGTCATGTAATAGTGGTATGCATGAAAACTGGATGAGGAATTGATGCATGCATTGCTTGAATTTTTTGTTTTGATGAAGTCGATACTATGCTAATTTACTTTTTAGTTATTGTAGTTTACTTATTTAATCAAGGATGATACTTTCATAGGTGCATAGTGTATGAATGCAAACATTTGAATTATGTAACTTGAAGGGCTTAAAAGCTGGTTATCAGTGAGTGACTATCAGCTAACATCTTTTATGTCCATTACAAATATGCATTCAGATTTTGTCATTAGTTGCTTATACAGCAAGCTCAGCCCTTTTACTATTGTCCTCAAACAGCAGAGAGAAAATAACATTTTGGCATAAATGCATAATATCTGTAAAAAGAGAGATGTGGCAAAAAAACTTTTAAGATGAATATTATCAGGGGTAGAACATATTAAACACCGAATCTGGATTAAAGGTTTGAAGACCATAGAATTTGCAATTCAAAAATGCTTTTAGGTGATATTCTATTCAACTATGCCACATAAACTTCATGATAGATGCAGTTTGAAATTGCCTTTAGACGCACTTGAAGTACTGAACTGAACAATGTCGAGATTTCAACTTTAACCATCATATTATTTAAGGTCTTAAGGAATCAGCTGCAATATAATCCCTCTAAACCTAGCATCAGGACTGGTTACATGGGTGACTTGTGACAGAATCAATTCTTTCTATAGACTCATAGGTGACACATAAAACAAAACAACTGGAAAATATTCAACTTCAGGCATACATTTATTACATGTTTGGTAAAGCTTATTCAAAGTGTTTATTCAGGATAGGGTAAATTTTCTGCTTTCAACATGTTGGCAGAGATTATGTAAAACTAATGCATTCATTGTAAAACCTTTTCTTTAAGTCAATTAGAGCATAACCAACTTGTACTTGATTAGGAATTATGAATAATGACTCATAACTCATAAGTCCCAATCACAAGCTTTTATCACATGGAACACACTATGGCAGCCACACACACATATACATCATCAATAGAGCAGTATATGAAAGAGTACATAGATAAACCAACCACGGTAAAGAAGGAGCAACTGGCTTTTCATGTACCTGCTCTTTCCTAATGAACCCAGAGAAGGATTAGTTATTGGAATATTTTTCTTCTTGGAAGGAGGTCCTAAATCCCAAGGTATTAGTTTTGTATAAATTGGTCTCATCTTATTATCAATCCAAATATACAGTGCAACTGCAAGAGCAAGCCTCATAGACCACACAACTGCAACTGCAACACTAGAATATACTTCAAACGGGAGTGCTTTCACATTGTAGACATCAACATTTACAAGCTGTTGATGCAACTTCCTCCAAACATCTTTCCAGCAATCCATTGGCATCCGCTCAACAATGTGGCGCTTGAATACAATTTCCTGTCTTCTATCCCCCTTTGGGTCTTCCATTTTCCCATCTTTGTAATACGGCAGAATGACTACACAGTACACACACAGGCTCAAACTCTCAAAGACCAATAATTAACTCATCAATATAATACAATCGTATACTAAAAAACATTTTGCTCATACAACAAAAAAGTTAATGCCACTCATCAAAGAATATAACAAAAAACCTCATTTTGTTTATAACATAAATGTAATTCCATTCATTACAAATAATTTTTACATCACTTTCATACGGTTGAATCAGTACCAATAAAAAATAATGAAAAAATATTGTTAGTTAATATATCATTCATTATCGACTTCTCTTTGTTTACATTTAAATATTTAACAATGGCGTATATGCATAAGAGGACAAGAAAATGTAACATGTGATACATCTCAGCTAAATTTGAAAGGGCAAGCCAAACAAGAAATTAGTATGCTACAAGGATAAGAGGAAATTATTGTTGGCTTATGACCTTTAACCCCAAAAATGTACTACGGTACTACCTCCATCCCATATTAGATGTCATGTTTTAGTTTGGCACGATTATTAATAAAGTGGTTGAAAAGTAAAAGTTGTGGTTGAGATTTGAGTAGAATAAAGTTCACAACCAAAATGGGACAGAGGGAGAAATTTGGATAATAGTACCTAAATTGGAAGTTTGTAGACTACATAAAAGCGGAGCGCGATGCACTTTGGCACCCCCGCAAGGAGACGGTCAGGGGAAGGGTCCCACAACAAGGGTGTATAGGGGGCAAACCTTCTCTTGTCAATTTTTGACAAGAGGCTGCTCCCAAGGCTTTAACCCGTGACACCTCTTGGTCACACAGCAATACCTTAACCGGTGCGCCAACTATTTCAATTAAACCTTCATAGACTACATATTACCACAAAAACCTGAATAGTAAGCACAGAGGCACTGACAGAAAACAAACCAGATACTGACTGGCCATAATTAGAGTACTCCATAAACTGCACATTTTTTGAGTTAAGCAACTGCAGGAAATCACTGTAGCTTATTCGATGAGAAGTCACAGGGTCCCATTCGGTTCCTTTCAGCTTTCCACGCATGGTTAATAGCTTTCTGCTCCATTCAGAAGCTAACACAAGCTGCCTCTCTAATTGAACATTTGCCTTTCTTTCAAACTCCTGTAAACTATTTATCCTCTCTCTTTCAGCCTCCTTCAAGTTCTGAAATTGCATTTGCCCACATTTGAGTGAGGAAACAAACCTAGCATTGTTTATTATTTTCTAAAGCTTTACTTCCCTCTCTTTTATACAAACTTTCTGCATGTTTGCTGTTGTTTACATCACATTGCAATGAATTTCTAGAAGAAGAAGAAACTAATCATTAGACACATTCATATATACAGACTTGATCTCCTAAATTTGGATAAACTTTTCTGCTTAAATTTCTTTAGTATAGCCACTCGAAAGGATTCACCTTATTAAAGTATCAGAAGCTTTAGGGGTTTCTTCAAAAGTATTCCTAAACTCTGAAAAAAACCAAGCTTTTTACTCACACTATCTATTAGCTATTGCTATTAGCTTTCTTTTCGTTCTAAAACTCTATACTGATAGGTTTAATTGAAAGATTGAAAGAGCAAGAGGTATAGCATTGGTATCTGGCTGCCAAAGACACATTTATAGTATTTAAAAAATATATCACCTACTTAGGCATATGCACCCTGACTATTAATATCTAATCTATATGTCAGAACATAAAGAATCAAGAAGACCTAAATCCTATATTCTTCCATTTCATAAAGACATGCACACACCTCGAATAGCGACTCGGCGTCTTCACCAGCTGAGTTGGAACTCGTAGGGGTTGAAGAAGACGCTTGACAAGCGGTGACTCTGAATGCGGTGGGACTGACATGGAGATGTCTATGCTGCAAATGAGAGATGAACACTTGTCCAGAAAATGGGAGCAGAAAGAGTGGTAGTTTAGAGAGTCGAGGTTTAGGAGGGCGGAGATGGGATTTAGGCAAATTCGTTGATGGGTCAAATGGTATGGACGCATTAGCTGCAATCATCATCTTCTTCCTCTAGCGTTTTCCTGCTCCAATAATCATATGAGTCGGAACTACCATACACACTTCTCTTATGACCGTCTCCCGAGCTGGGAGGTTTGTTCCGGTTGTCTGATGAAAGTATGTGCTGTATAGTTCGGGTTTTTAGTACTCCACTTCTAATTTTCCCATTTTTAATCCTTTACTATTTTTTTAGAGATACTTTTAGTCTCTGATTTCAAGGTTTTCCACATTTAATCCTTGAGTATGGTCAATTTGACACTTAATTCTCCCATTATGATTTTTGACACAATAAATAGAGGATTAAATGTCACTATTATAATAGTTGGAAGACCTAAGTGTCAATTTTATGAAAGTTGAAGGACTAAATATGGAAATTTTTAAAGACGATTATCAAAAGTATCTCTAGCGCAATAGTCAAGGACTAAAAATGGAAAAAATCAAAGCCGAGTAACGAAAGTGTCAATGATATAATAGTTGGAGGACTAAAAGTGGAAAGAATCTTTGACAAAACTTTCTCGACGTCCTGAGCAAATGACCACTTTTAAGAAGAACAATAGCAAATGACACACATTTATTTATTTTTGGCTAAAGAGTTAAATATGTTTCTTTATTCGAAATTTATTCTTTGAACTCAAAAATACTCTAATTCATACCTTTAACTCAATAAAAGAGTTTTATGTCAATATCATACTGCTGCCACGTCATCAAATTAGATATCAATTGTGCATCTGACTTGACGGTACTAACTATGAAATAAGCTCATGAACTTCACTAAATTGTTCAATTTACCTCCCTCAACCATTTATGGTGTCAAAATTGCTAAAAAATAAAAATGAGAAATTGAAAAGTAGAAAAATCAAATATAAAACAAAATACAAGTTGATAATATAAAACATAGACATCTATTTAATACGGAGTATATAACAAGTAAATATTTATATTTTGCCGTAATTCAAAATAAAAAATAAAAAATGAAAAATCTTTTTAAATAAATAATACGAAAATGTAATAACTATTTTTGTATTATACTTTTTATATAGTATAAATTTTTTATGGTGTATATAATTAGTATGAAGTATAGCATAGAATTGGAAAATAAAATAATAATGAGTATATATACATATATGCATGTGTGTGATTATACTTATAAATCTCAAACATATTAAAAACTAAAAACTAAGAAATGAAAAGATACAAGTCTAAAATATATATAAACATAATATAAATAGTAAAATAAAAAACCTAAACTGTCCTTTACTCCGTATAATACAAATTATTACATAATACATGAAATAAAAAAATAAATTTACTTAAAGTAAAAAAAGGTATTGTTTTTTAAGTAGATATAAAATATGGGAATAAATTTAAAGAATTTCTTTTAGTATTTTTTTGAATTTACCGCAAAATATAAATATTTCCTTATTATTTTTTTTAATAGAAGTCTATATTTTATACTTTCGATTTGTATTTCATTTTATATTTGTATTTTTTATTCTTTATTTCTTATTTCTTATTTTTTAAATTTTGATGTTTTTAACGAGTGAGGGGGTAAATTGGATAACTCGGTTGGCTTTAACCGTTCAGAGGCCTATTTGATCCCTTAAATTGTCATGTGAGATGCACAATTGGCATTTGATTGGGTGACGTGACGGTGATCGGGCTATTACCTGCAAAAAGTGAAAGTTGAACTTTTTTATAGAGTTCAGGGTGTGAATTGGGTTTTTTTAGTTCAATGATCAAATTGAGCGTTCCATATGGGTACGAGGAGCTATTTGCCCCTTAAGCCTTTATTTTTATTTATTTTTGAAAGAAAAACAACTATTTATTAATAATAAAATTGATGAGTACAAAAGTAATTTTGATGGCCTAAGGTTACAATGAGACGGGACATAGAACTGAATAGTTCATAATGAACATAACAATTCGCTAAGTCCACAAAGATGTTGACTCATCTATCCACATAGAAGTTTCTGCTACTTAACCGATAATCAATTCTTAAAAAAGTACTAATATGCGATAGAAAACAAACATATAATCGGTTTCACTATCCCCCGACAAGGAAATAATAGAAAATCTAGTTTGTCCAACCACCATAAAACAACAACTAGAATCCACAGTTTGACCAGCTACTACGAATAAATTGCAAATATAATCAGTTTGACCAACCACCGAAAAGAAGATCCAATCGAACGTTATCTTTCTCTCATAGCATGGCGGTGGTTCAGAAGGAGGGTGAACAATTGAGGTCTTAGAGTCGCCGATGTATGAACTTAACCTCTTAAACAAATCAAGCAGTATAAGCATTGTCATCAACCAAAAATAAAGTTTCAACGCCCGGTCAATTTCACCGATGTGGAATACACAAACCCTAAACATTGCTAGAAAGAAACCACATTTATATATATTTGAACACATTTATATACTCCGTATATTTGAAACCATTAGATTATTTGAGGTTTAATTGGATGATGTAGAAGATTATTTGAAATATTATCATTGTGAGTGAGAGATTATTGAAAAAGAAAACCCGGTATCAAGATTTGGATCCCGGCTTATTTTAGATTGTAGCTAAACTTGCATTTAATGCATGGTCTACAAAAACTAATTATTTGAGTATCATGGATGATGAAGTGTTTTAAGATTTGAGATTATTTAAAATTTATTGAGTAAATGTGATGTGCCAATGATGTGTAATAGGAAAATCGTTTATTTTAAATTATACTGTTTAATGAAATACGGTCATATGATCATCATAAATAAGTTATTTCAAATGTGTCATTAATAACAATAGTAAATTCTGTCACTACTACGATATAAATGCATTTCATGTATATGTAAATGTTGTTATGCCCAAATTTTGATGCATGTGTGTCTTATTTCAACTATTAACACATTTCTAAGTCAAACAATTCTTCATTATTATTTTCGTATTTACAATTGTACCGTTATTTTTTACTTTGACATGTTTCTAATTCTTCCATTTACCAAATATCTTGATTCTTCATTGTACTTTTGGTTAGAATCAACACACAGTTCATATAAAAACTGAAAAACACATATATGTACTAACACATATATAAAACTATTTTCCATTAAAATCACAATAAATCTCGTGCACCAAAATTCATAATTAATAACTTTAGATATCTCAACATCCATTTGAATGATAAGACCTATCATATCTTGTTGCATTTTTGTTGTTTTGCAAACGTTTTTATTTCGAGTTCTAAAACTCATATTCAACCTTCGTTTTCAAAAAATTACGAGATGGTTAGTTAATGAGCCGAATTTCGAATTCAAGACTCTATTTACATCAAATATGCTCTATTTGCTCTGAAAACATTATATTACAATAAATATACTAGGTATGTTCTTCTGTTTAAAACATTTTATATCTCGTTGGAAGATGGTTTTGAATTCTAAAACTATTCATCAGACTTCATTTATAATGTATCGACAAATAAAGCCTCTTTCCATAGCAAAAAAAGTACATATATTTGTTTTAGCGTAATAGTGCATCGGATTTATGAAAAAAGAAGACAGAAAGTTTATGTTAACAAGTGTTTATTAGAAAAATGGCTTAGAGCATGAATAAACGTGAAAAATAGGCAATCGTCCACAAGACCACATGATTACAAAATGTTATTAGATGTATCTTCATTGTTAAATTTAATGGCTGAATAATTTATGTCCTGGATAATTCATTCTTTCGCCTACATTTAGGGATGAGCATTGATCCAAGACCGGATCTGACCGATACAGGTTGGGTTACAACCCGAATCACCAAAATTATTGGATCAAATACCGAACCTAAATAATTCCTGTCCAAGGCCAAATCGGACAGGACTATTCCAGTTTATCGGACCGGGCCGGTATGAACCGAAATTTTACTTTCATTTATCTTTTACATGTGTCATCTTTAAGAAATGTTTTGATTATATGAAAATTGCCTTTTTAGCTTGCAACTTCTATTATAATTGATGTTGTTTATGTATGCTATTTTCTCATTTAATCTTCTACATTAGAACGAAACTGCTCCTAATGTGATTTTATTAATATAAGAAACTAACATTATTTCTTGATAGTTCAATAATGAAGGGTTTAATTTTTCAATTTCAATAAAAATAGCTCAATCAATCATGTATGGAACATTTGATAAACTTAGCAAATAAAACCTGTCCACATAAATTTCAATGTTTGATAAGGTTATAACATCTTATTAATCTAAATATTTAAATAATGCCTGAAGATTTTATCACTTAATATATAGATTTAATATATAGATAGGCACACGCGCACACTCACATGACACACTCACACGCACACAGTCAAATTTTGATAGAATATAGAATGGGAAGAAAACGATGACAATATAATACGTCTGACAAGATATCATGCATTGACAAGCCCGTCTAATGAGTTTCCAAGTCAAATTTTTTATGAGCTTTGTAGATTATATCCCAAAAAAATCAACTTAAAATTCAATCGGAAAGTCAATTTAATAAATTGTTGAAAACACTACGAAGAACATTCTACAAAATTTTATTCTCACAAAATTTCATTGCTATATACATAGTGGCATTCCTGACAAGACCCGCTGTTTGACCAGCCCGTTTGAGGAGCTTTCGGATCGATTTTTATGATGAAAATTATGAGCATCTCAAGTGTAAATTATCTCCATAAAATTTAAACTTATAATTCAAACGGAAAGTAAGTTAAATAAATTATTGAAACATATTGCGCTTTATTTATATACATAAAGCGCAATATGTTTCAATAATTTATTTAACCGACTTATAGGTTGAATGTTAAATTGAAATTTTGTGGAGATAATCTATACTGGATAAAGAACATGCTAAAAAACTTCATCAAAAAAATCTACCGGGAAGGGCCCTAAATGACCTTGGCCGGACGGCGGATCATGTCATGCCAGTGACTGGATCATTTAGACAAAGACATATGAATATATGATGCATAAGAGAAGCTCACTACACATACTAATGTGTTGGTATTGGCCCTCTATTCCCTAAGCCCAACCCATTTTGTATGTACCCCGGCCCATAATCAGCTTTACCGATCGGCTGTCTCTTGGCCCATAATCCTTTTGCCGATCGGCTCTCTTGGTACGAATTGATTCTTTCCTTCCTTGAACTGT